TCATGAAGAAGTTGGGAGGGCCAAGCTGCTCGTACATGTTGAGCGCCACTCCCTTCTTGGCATACAGGTACGGCTGCGTACCAGGCATGTCCCGCAAGGCAGCGTACACCTGACGGCTACCGTTCTCGTAGTCGCTACTGCCGTAGGGCACCCGCTGGTTGCCGATCCGGACGTTGATGTTTCCGGAAAGTCGCTTCTTGGTCTGCATCTCCATCAGCCACATGATGTAGGCCGTGGACGCTTCGAAGCGGGAATCCAGGCTCAGCAGACGCTTCCGGGCATATTGGGAAAAGCTTCCGTTGTCGTTCTTCCAGCCTCCTGTGCCGGTGGGAAACAAGTGTTGGAAGAATTTTGCATCCATGCCATCGCTGAGGTCTGCGGATCCTCGCACTTTTCGCAAATCTTGTACGTCGGCTTTTGGGGCCTGGAATTGCTTCGGCACCAGGTATGTCATCTCGATCTCTTGGTTTGCTTCTGTTCCCGCAAGTGGGTCTGTTGGCACCGCAGCCGCAGCGGATGTCTTGTTGGCGAGGATGGCAGCCATTCTCGCCAGAGCTCTGTCCACTGCCGGGCTCCGTTGATAGAGGCAGTGCAGTTCCTTCAAGGCCTGCAAGGCCGCGTGTAGGTGCTCCAAACGCGCTGGTGATGCGGTCATGCCGTCCACGCCCTCGACCAGCACTGTACCGTCTTCTTCCAAAGTGGCGCCTTCGAGGACGTCGCAGATGAAAGGATCCTGCATGAGCACTGCGTACATGCGACCCCACTGCGCGCTCGGGCCGCCTGATGGCAGCTTGTCCAACAAGACCTGCGAGATGCGTGCCATGGCGAGGAGATGCTGCTCGATGGGTTGCAGACTTTGCAGTGCTTCTGGGATGGGGGCCGGGATTGGCAAAACCACCTTGGTGCGATTCTCGCGGCAATTCCTGCAGAGCAGCTGGCCACTTCCTTTGGCTGTTCTGCATTGCCTCCCTGGTGTTAGAGTCTGGCACTTCTGGCACACGCGAGAAAGGCCAAATCTACTCCAGCTCCGCGCAAAAGCCAAGTAATGGGCTTGTGCCTGCTCCTGGGTCAAGTTGTCCTCGTCTGGAAAAGGGTAGCCCTGCTGCTGAATCTCCGAGGCGATGGGCCTGGGCCCTCGGCCGCCCACTCCCTCCTCTGCCTTTGCCCGCTCCCTTGCCTCACGCAGCTGGCGGCGCTCTGCTTCTTTGCTGTCTTCTTCCCGCAAAGGTCCACGGCCGCCCGCTTCCTCCTCTGACTTTGCCCGCGCCCTTGCCTCACGCAGCTGTCGGCGCTCTTCCCTTTTGCCGTCTTCTTCCCGCAAAGGTCCACGGCCGCCCGCTTCCTCCTCTGCCTTTGCCCGCTCCCTTGCCTCACGCAGCTGTCGGCGCTCTGCTTCTTTGCTGTCTTCTTCCCGCAAAGGTCCACGGCCGCCCGCTTCCTCCTCTGCCTTTGCCCGTGCCCTTGCCTCACGCAGCTGTCGGCGCTCTTCCCCTTTGCCGTCTTCTTCCCGCAAAGGTCCACGGCCGCCCGCTTCCTCCTCTGCCTTTGCCCGCGCCCTTGCCTCATGCAGCTGTCGGCGCTCTGCTTCTTTGCTGTCTTCTTCCCGCAAAGGTCCACGGCCGCCCGCTTCCTCCTCTGACTTTGCCCGCGCCCTTGCCTCACGCAGCTGTCGGCGCTCTGCTTCTTTGCTGTCTTCTTCACGCAAAGGTCCACGGCCGCCTGCTTCCTCCTCTGCCTTTGCCCGCGCCCTTTCCTCACGCAGCTGTCGGCGCTCTGCCTTTCTGCTGTTCTCTTCGCGCAAGGGTCCACGACTGCCCGCTCCCTGCGCTGCCCGTTGTTGCTGCCGAGCAATTTTCTCTGCGCTCTTCTGGGCCAGGCACTCCTCTTTTTCGTCTTGGCGGCACTGCGGATTGCTGCACCATCCCTGTCCTCTGCCGCTCCTTGTCCCGAAGCCGCACCGATGACAAGGGGCCATGGCAACGAATCCTGAATCCTCAGATTTTGCACCTAGGGGCTGTATCCGAAACACTGCAGCAGGCTCAGTGAAGCAACTTGAGAAGCCATGCTCGAGCACTTACAAAGCTGTCCTGCCTTTGCTCGCTGCTCAGTTTCTTTCTCGTGGCACACACTGGAGCTCTGCAGGCTTGTCTTGCTGAGACATAACGTACTCACATGGGCAGCTCTACGGGCCTGTGGCTTTCTCTGAGATGTAGACAACTTGCACGTGCACGACGTCGTTGCTCAAGCTGTGACCCAACAGTTCACGCCAGCTCCAGGTGTCTGTGATCACGCCCCCGCCCAAGACCAGCTTCGTGGTGTCGAGGGGGATGGGTCCTGCAGGACCGCTGTCCAAATCGTGAAGCAAGACTTCCCTGGCGCTGCGATATTGCAGCGTTTCCGCCGGGATAGGCTTCTTAATTTCTTGTCGTCTGAGACGTAGTTGGCGCAGGGAGAGACGGCGATCTGGGCTGTTTCCTTCGTGCAAAGTGTGCAGCCAGGCTTCCCGGAAAGACTCGCACGGTTCGACATGGCAGAGTGGATAAGGCTTCGAGGTGTGGATTTCGCTACCTTGCATGTTCAGGTACTTCACCGTCATGTTGGCGAGACGCTGGCGGTATTCATTCTGGATTTCCATTTCTTTGCTCCACTGTACTCTCTCACGCGCATCTTCCTCGGCTTCGCGCTGCATCTCACTGTCGACCCAGTCCCAGTCGTCGAACCCGTCCTCGAAGTCCGCCTGTTCGGAGTCGCGAATCGAGTGGTCTCTGCTCTCCAAGGCCTCGCACGTGTCTTCGAGCATGCTGTCGCACCAGTCGACCTGAGAAACAAGACAGCGGCCATGTTCCAAAAACGAAACGAACAGCTGCGACGATTGAGATTTGTACCCCAATGGTTGCCTGGCCGCAGCGGGACACGGATGAAGACTTTAAAACGATTCGAATTGAGCCCAAGCGCGCTGCACAAGCAACAAAAAGCACGGGAAGGCTCGGCCGTCCCTACCTTCTCACAAGCTCAAGAAAGAGGTGCAACATGGCTCAACAATGCACAGAAGAAGCGAGTAGCCCATGACCGGCCGTTTCTGTGGAATTTTGAGAGTCAGAGCGAATGAAGATTGGCGTGAAACAGATGTTCTGCCAGCGACTGCTTGTGCCGTAGCCTGCATCGCGGCAGCTTTTCTAAGAGAAGAAACGGTCCGGCCACTGGCTGCTCTTCTGGCTGCCATCGTCCGTTGATCAGGATTGCCAGATGCGTCTGCCGCGACAGTGCTTCGTGACTATGGGCTTCAGATCCCATGGCTGAGATGACGTCGCCGACCGTGACGTTCTGAAGGGCCTAGAAGCTCACAGGTCGAAACAGCATGGCAATACGGTATTTGTGGGCTTCCGGTTCATTCAGCCCAGCAGCTGTCCAGCGCACAGAGCCTGCGACGTGGCCGGCCATGGTCCGCAAATTTGCGATCGGGCCACCGTCCCACTTCAGCTCGCAGTTCAGGCCCCCCAACAGCCGCAGCGGTTGGCCATTGCAACTCGCATCAGTTGAGCTGAGAAACAAGGGATGCGAAAATGCTCTCAAGACCTTTTGCGGTGACAGAGGCTTGCGCCCGAAATGGCTGTGGATGAAGACTTAAGGCTGTTCATATTGAGCCAAAGCGCACGGTGTGAGCGGTAAACGCTGGCCCCTATTCAGGTTGAGGCAAGCAAACAGGAATTGCTGGTGTCAGGACTTTGTGTTGACTGAAGCGACTCGGCTGCACCCCATTCTGGTTGAGCATAAGCACCTGGCACATGGCCCCCATTCAGGTTGAGGACAAGCAAACGTGGTTCTCCTTCATAAAATGCACCAGCGTAAGGGTTTCCAGCTCTTGGAAGGCCTTGCCAGGTAGTTCTCTTTCATAAAATGCACCAGGATAAGGATTTCCAGCTCTTGGAAGGCCTTGCCAGGTAGTTCTCCTTCATAAAATGTACCAGGAGAAGGATTTCCAGCTCTTGGAAGGCCTTGCCAGGTAGTTCTCCTTCATAAAATGCACCAGGATAAGGATTTCCAGCTCTTGGAAGGCCTTGCCAGTTAGTTCTCCTTCATAAAATGCACCAGGATAAGGATTTCCAGCTCTTCGAAGGCCTTGCCTTTTCCAGCTCGCGGAAGGCCTTTCCAGGTAGCTCTTTCATAAAATGCACCAGGATAAGGATTTCCAGCTCGCGGAAGGCCTTTCCAGGTAGTTCTCCTTCATAAAATGCACCGGATAAGGATTTCCAGGTCGCGGAAGGCCTTTTCAGGTAGTTCTCCTTCATAAAATGCACCAGGATAAGGATTTCCAGCTCTTGGAAGGCCTTTCCAGGTAGTTCTCCTTCATAAAATGCACCGGATAAGGATTTCCAGCTCGCGGAAGGCTTTTCCAGGTAGTTCTCCTTCATAAAATGCACCAGGATAAGCATTTCCATCTCGCGGAAGGCCTTTCCAAGTAGTTCTTCTTCAGAAAAAAGCACCAGGATAAGGATTTCCAGCTCGCGGAAAGCCTTTCCAGGTAGTTCTCCTTCATAAAATGCACCAGGATAAGGATTTCCAGCTCGCGGAAGGCATTTCCAGGTAGTTCTCCTTCATAAAATGCACCAGGATAACGATTTCCAGCTCGCAGAAGGCCTTTCCAGGTAGTTCTCCTTCATAAAATGCACCAGGATAAGGATTTCCAGCTTGCGGAAGGCCTTTCCAGGTAGTTCTCCTTCATAAAATGCACCAGGATAAGGATTTCCCTTTCCAGGTAGTTATCCTTCATAAAATGCACTAGGATAAGGATTTCCAGCTCTTGGAAGGCCTTTCCAGGTAGTTCTCCTTCATAAAATGCACCAGGATAAGCATTTCCAGCTCGCGGAAGGCCTTTCCAAGTAGTTTTTCTTCAGAAAAAAGCACCAGGATAAGGATTTCCAGCTCGCGGAAAGCCTTTCCAGGTAGTTCTCCTTCATAAAATGCACCAGGATAAGGATTTCCAGCTCGCGGAAGGCATTTCCAGGTAGTTCTCTTTCATAAAATGCACCAGGATAAGGATTTCCAGCTCGCAGAAGGCCTTACCAGGTGGTTCTCCTTCATAAAATGCACCAGGATAAGGATTTCCAGCTCGCGGAAGGCCTTTCCAGGTAGTTCTCCTTTATAAAATGCACCAGGATAAGAGCCTTTCCAGGTAGTTCTCCTTCATAAAATGCACCAGGATAAGGATTTCCAGCTCTTGGAAGGCCTTGCCAGTTAGTTCTCCTTCATAAAATGCACCAGAATAAGGATTTCCAGTTCTTGGAAGGCCTTGCCAGGTCGTTCTCCTTAATAAAATGCACCAGGATAAGGATTTCCAGCTCTTGGAAGGCCTTGCCAGGTTGTTCTCCTTCATAAAATGCACCAGGATAAGGATTTCCAGCTCGTGGAAGGCCTTGCCAGGTAGTTCTCCTTCATAAAATGCACCAGGATAAGGGTTTCCAGCTCTTGCAAGGCCTTGCCAGGTAGTTCTCCTTCATAAAATGCACCAGGATAAGGATTTCCAGCTCTTGGACGAGGTAGTTCTCCTTCATAAAATGCACCAGGATAAGGATTTCCAGCTCTTGGAAGGCCTTGACAGGTAGTTCTCCTTCATAAAATGCACCAGGATAAGGATTTCCAGCTCTTGGAAGGCTGCCAGGTAGTTCTCCTTCATAAAATGCACCAGGATAAGGATTTCCATCTCTTGGAAGGCCTTGCCAGGTAGTTCTCCTTCATAAAATGCACCAGGATAAGGATTTCCAGCTCTTGGAAGGCCTTGCCAGGTAGTTCTCCTTCATAAAATGCACCAGGATAAGGATTTCCAGCTCTTGGAAGCAGCTTTGCAGCCGAGTCGCCCGTGATTCTCCTTAATTGGTTGGCGATAAGCTTACCAGCTGAGATTTGCAGCCGAGTCGCCTGGGATTCTCCTTAATTGGTTGGCGAGAAGCTTTCCAGCTGGGATTTGCAGCCGAGTCGCCTGGGATTCTCTTCATTGGTTGGCGATAAGCTTTCCAGCTGAGATTTGCAGCCGAGTCGGCCGGGATTCTCCTTAATTGGTTGGCGATAAGCTTTCCAGCTGAGATTTGCAGCCGAGTCGCCTGGGATTCTCCTTAATTGGTTGGCGATAAGCTTTCCAGCTGAGATTTGCAGCCGAGTCGCCCGGGATTCTCCTTAATTGGTTGGCGAGAAACTTTCCAGCTGAGATTTGCAGCCGAGTCGCCTGGGATTCTCCTTAATTGGTTGGCGATAAGCTTTCCAGCTTTGCAGCCGAGTCGCCCGGGATTTTCCTTAATTGGTTGGCGATAAGCTTTCCAGCTTTGCAGCCGAGCCGCCTGGGATTCTCCTTAATTGGTTGGCGATAAGCTTTCCAGCTGGGATTTGCAGCAGAGTCGCCTGGGATTCTCCTTAATTGGTTGGCGATAAGCTTTCCAGCTTTGCAGCCGAGTCGCCCGGGATTCTCCTTAATTGGTTGGCGATCAGCTTTCCAGCTTTGCAGCCGAGTCGCCCGGGATTCTCCTTAATTGGTTGGCGATAAGCTTTCCAGCTGGGATTTGCAGCCGAGTCGCCGGGGATTCTCCTTAATTGGTTGGCGATAAGCTTTCCAGCTTTGCAGCCGAGTCGCCCGGGATTCTCCTTAACTGGTTGGCGATAAGCTTTCCAGCTGGGATTTGCAGCCGCGTCGCCTGAGATTCTCCTTAATTGGTTGGCGATAAGCTTTCCAGCTTTGCAGCCGAGTCGCCCGGGATTCTCCTTAATTGGTTGGCGATAAGCTTTCCAGCTGGGATTTGCAGCCGAGTCGCCCGGGATTCTCCTTAATTGGTTGGCGATAAGCTTTCCAGCTTTGCAGCCGAGTCTCCTGGGATTCTCCTTAATTGGTTGGCGATAAGCTTTCTAGCTTTGCAGCCGAGTCGCCTGGGATTCTCCGTAATTGGTTGGCGATAATCTTTTCAGCTTTGCAGCCGAGTCGCCCGGGCTTCTCCTCAATTGGTTGGCGATAAGCTTTCCAGCTGGGATTTGCAGCCGAGTCGCCCGGGATTCTCCTTAATTGGTTGGCGATAAGCTTTCCAGCTTTGCAGCCGAGTCGCCCGGGATTCTCCTTAACTGGTTGGCGATAAGCTTTCCAGCTGGGATTTGCAGCCGAGTCGCCTGGGATTCTCCTTAATTGGTTGGCGATAAGCTTTCTAGCTTTGCAGCCGAGTCGCCCGGGATTCTCCTTAATTGGTTGACGATAAGCTTTCCAGCTGGGATGTGCAGCCGAGTCGCCCGGGATTCTCCTTAATTGGTTGGCGATCCTGGCAGTTTTCCTTCATAAATTGCACCAGGATAAGAGGCCTTTCCAGGTAGTTCTCCCTCGTGAAATGCACCAAGAAGGCCTTTCCAGGTAGTTCTCCTTCATGAAATGCACCAGGATAAGGATTTCCAGCTCTTTGAAGGCCTTTCCAAATAATTCTCCTTCATAAAATGCACCAGGATAAGGATTTCCAGCTCTTTGAAGGCATTTCCAGGTAGTTCTCCTTCGCAAAAAAAGCACCAGGATTTCCAGCTATTTGAAGACAGGATAAGGATTTCCAGCTTTTTTTCAAGGCCTTTCCATGTAGATGTGATCAGAATGCAGCGTGTTCCCTTCCCTAATTGGGTCGGGATGTGATCAGGGCCGCGCAACCAAGGTAGCCCTGCATTCCCCTCTCTAGTTGGGTCGGGATGTGATCAGGGCCTGTAAATGCAGGCACAGAGCCTTGCGTTCCCCTCCCTAGTTGGGTCGGGATGTGATCAGGGCCGGTAAATGCAGCCAAGGAGCCTTGGTCAGGATGTGATCAGGGCCTGTGTGAATGCAGTCAAGGTATTTGCCTCCTTAATTGGGTCGGGATGTGATCAGGGCCTGTGTGAATGCAGCCAAAGAGCCTTGTATTTGCCTTTAATTGGGTCGGGATGTGATCAGGGCCTTTGTAACTGCTCCCAAGGAGCCTTTGCGTTCCCTTCCCTAACTGGGTCAGGATGTGATCAGGGCCTGTGTCAATGCAGCCAAGGAGCCTTGCATTCCCTCCCTGACTGGGTCGGATGTGATCAGGGCCTGCGTGAACGCAGCCAAGGAGCCTTGGCCTCCCTAATTGGGTAGGGATGTGATCAGGGCCCGTGTATGAAGCCAAGGAGCCTTGTGTTCCCTTCAGGGTGTGAGCAGGACCTGTGCAGATGCAGCCAAGGAGCCTTGCATTCCCCTCCCTAATTGGGTCGGGATGTGATCAGGGCCTGTAAATGCAGCCACAGAGCCTTGTGTTCCCCTGCCTAGTTCGGTCGGGATGTGATCAGGGCCGGTAAATGCAGCCAAGGAGCCT